GCGAGGCGCGCGAGCTGGTGGGCGGCGGTTGTTAGGGCAGCGCGGCGTACAAAGCGTCCGGAGAGGATCGAGCAGCAATAATACCTGACTGCGGGGTTTTTTTAAGCGCCCCTCCCCCCCTTTTTTTTGCGGCGTCTTTATGGGCGTTTTTAATTTGGTAGCCGCCCCTAGCTGTTAGGTTTTTAGTCCTGACTTCAGACGCTGAGTGTTCCCCTTACCTGTTTACAAATATCCACTGCTGAAAGGGTTTTGTTTTTTTTTTTTAAAGGTCTTTATAATGAAGATATTTCCTGGATTGATTTATATATTTGAATTCTCATTCACAAATCCTGTCAACATTAGAGCTAATTCACCCTTTCCTTAAGCCCCGTTCCAGCTGAATTAGCCACTGTTGAATTGAAGTGCTCTGGAGCCTCATTCGTTTGTTTGTATCTGCAGAAAAAGTTCCAGTGACATCTCATGACCTGAACCACGTAAATCCCAAAGTCCTGCGTATGCTTTTGCTGTCCCTTTCATAATTAAGCTAGTATATCTTTAATTTTCGTGCTTTATATTGAAAACTTCTTCTACCCAATTTTATCCTTGATGCTGTGTGTGTATCTACCTTTAAATGTGCTACAAAGGTAGTTCCCTTTGTGTTACACTGCAGGCATTCTAATACAGGATTTGCTTAACGTTAAAGTCAAAACCGTTGGCCCGCAAATTCACTTTGTACTGTGATAATAATTTGGTGAAAGCAAAATCTCTGCTAGTTTTTTAAGTATGAGTAGGGTTGGACACCTGCTTCAGTTTCGTAGAACTCTTCCAGATACTGTGAAAGCAAGCCTGACAGCTAATCCCTGCCTTTTTACATCGTCAGTGATGCTAAGGAATCAGTTTGGCTTGCTTTCAGCGTTGGTTGTACCTGCATAGTCATTGCAGCTAATTTTTTCTGTACAACTCTGTTCACCTTTCCCACTTAAGAAATTAAAAAACAACAACAGAAGTAACTCCAAGGTTAGGAGTTCATTGAGGTCAGCAGGCCATTCACAGTTTTGTTAAGTTTTTCTGTGTAGAGGTGAACTACAGATGGCATATAAGGAGGAAAACAGGAAAAACGATAGTGCTAGGTTGGCAGGGGAAGGTTGCATACCTTTAAGGAGCAAAAGACCAGCAAATTTTAGATTTCTCCCTTAGAAGTTTTCTATTTGAATAGAAGGAGTTCATTCAGAGACCAAAAGTTGCTCCTCCCCACCCTGTAAAATGAGACATAAGATGTTCTTAAGTTAAAGAAACAGTGAACCAGAAAGTATAGCTGAATTAATTGTTCTCCTTTCTCCTGGGATAAACTAGTTATTGCAGTGTTTTGTGGCTCTATTCCAGCTCACTTGCACAATTATTCAAATGAAGTTCTTTCTTTTAGTTAAGCACATTCAGAGATATGTCTTGGCCGAGGTGATGATATTTCTAGGAAATAATCTTCCCCAATCATGCTTTGCTTATTTTGTTTCTGATACATCAGAGCCCCAGAAACTGCTGTCTCAGCTTAGTGGATATGTAAAAGGAGTATTATCAGCAAGTTTTGAATTACCTCTTCACAGGTAGAAAAGACTATACTAGCTTAACTTGTTTTTTTCTCTAAATTTGTTACTAGTTTTGATTGTATGTGTGATATGACCGTGATATCTGAGCATCTTAATATCACTGATGCTGAGTTTATTTAAGTTGATAAACTGTGGTTTTAATAATTGCTTTTCTTACTGCTTTTCTTTTTTTTCTCCTTTCTCTAAAGCTGGAGAATAAAACAAAAGGGAAGCTTCAAAGGCAGATTTGTCAAGTTGTTTTGGATCATTTTGAGAAGCAGTACACACAGGAACTGGGAGATGCATGGACCAGAGTCAGGTCTGTTTTATATTGGGTGTGGAGGACGGGGGTTCTGTTTGTTTTGAAGTGCTTCCTAAAATACCTGCAAGAAGTCACAGAATGTAACAACTGCTTCAGCTATTTTTAGTTTAGACTAGCAGTATGAAATAATAGAAGACTTGGAATTTCTTGTTTTTCCCTTGACATGCTTCTTTTTGTGGTGGTTAATCTTCTGTGACCTTTATGTGTATGCAGTGTAAAGAGAAAGAGACTGCCGTCTTACATGTTTCAGTTAACTATTTCATAAAACCATGATCAAAAAAGCATCCCTGTATACTTAACAGCAGCTGTTAGCATTTGTTCTACAGCTTTATAGTATGTTAAGAGACTGAGACAAAATGTTAGGAGTGAAATACCTCCCCTGGTTTCCTTCATTAGAAGAAATTGAATTTTAACGGCTCTTCACTTGTACGGAAAATGACATCATTTAATTTGGGCCTTGATCACACAGCAGCTAAAAACTGGTTGTGGCATTGAGAGAGGACAGCTTCCTCTCCCTGCAAGCTGGTGATTATTACTCATAGGAAAGCCAGCAAAAGAGCCCTTCAGGAGAAATTCACTTTTCTACTTGGAAGGGAAAAGCATCTTACGTGATCAGAGCCTTAGTAACCATGTGATTACTCCAAGTGCCCTCTTTGGTTTAGCATGTTTGGATTAAAAAGTAGTTTAAAACAAGTGTCTCTGTTGTAAAAATTTGGACATGTGGAAGCATAACGTTGGCTTAACTGTATAAGCTTAAAAGCTCTTTTGGATTGCATCAATGCAGATTTCTCTTTTAAGATAGTGAATACTACTGAGGAGTATCATATGATAGTCCTCAGGCTAAACATGAAAAAATACAGAGGGGAATTAAAATGGGAAATGGGGAATATTCACAAACGAAAGACGTGTAAAAAGCAAACGGAAATTTAAACAGGCTTGTTCCTACCATAAAAACCCTGCTTTTTGATTGTCTTCCAGGAATATCTGTTGTCTTAAGTTTTCCTGACCCAACATTTGCAGAACATAAATGGAAATTTAGAAAAGAACACCTGTAAAAAAATGCTTTTTAGAAATGCACATATACATAGTTGGCAGGAATGACCCCTTACAAAGGCAATGTGATTTTTGTTTTTGTTGTGATTTTTGAAAACTGATATGACAATTGTTCTTGGCCCCTAGGGAAATCCTTTATAGTTACAGCATTAAGCATCATAATGTGTAGGTTCTCCAGTCATTTGTTAAAGAATTAGGAAAAACAAATAACGTTCTGTTTTAGGAGATGATGTTTTGAAAGGCAATAATTATAGAAAATAGTGACTTGATTTTCCTATTAAAATTCTTTTCCTGGGTGCTTTTCTTAATCATATCTAATCAAAATCGTATGATTCGTTTTTATTTCACCAAAATCATACCATGATGAAACTGTTACTCATATGTAAGGAAAGGCTTCCCACGTGATAGAAACGTAATTTAATTTGTCAAACTATTAAATAGCGTTTCCTTTTTTTCAATCCAGGGATGTACTCACACAGCCGTTGTGCTGGCAGCATGCTGTCCTCCTTAATAAATTCAGTCGGTCCTCAGAGCTGGAGAGCACTTTGTGTTTGAAGGGCTATCATCCTCTCTTTCAAGAAACTTTGCCTTATTTGCCAGGATCATTAAAGTGTTACATCAGTAGAACTCCTAGGAGATTCCCAGCACAGAAACACCAGATTGGTAAACTGAAAGAATATTATCTGCTGAATGCTGCTTCACTCTTGCCAGTGCTGGCATTGGAGGTGAAGGATGGGGAAGACGTTTTGGATGTGTGTGCTGCGCCAGGGGGTAAATCAGTAGCTATATTACAGTGTGCCAATCCAGGTAACATACTGAGTTGTTATTAGCTGTTAGTACCTGGTCCCTGGCTTTATTTATGTGGGTTTTTTTAGTTGTGTCTGTATTCTGTGCAAGATTTGGATTTAAAAGTATGTCCTAAGTATTCTCGTGTTGTTTGGTAAGGTTTTTTTGTGATGTCCGTTTACCTAAAAGTGGATGAAAAATGCTGTAGTTCTTCAAATACGGAGTATTGCAGACTGACTGATAAAAGGAGAGTAACTCTTATGTTTTTGTTTCTACACCAATTCCCTTATTGTTACTTCTCAAGATATTACTTAAAATCATTTGTAGACTCCTTGACACAGGGAGGTAAGTATTCTGCAATGTTAAAATACTTTTACTTTTTTTTTCTTTTCTTCTGCTGCCTATCTGGCCCATGCAAATAGTGTAAGAAAACTTAAGTGTACAGATGTAAAATGGGACATAAAAGATTAAACGTGTGAAAACTAGGCAGAGGGAGAAAGCTTATGATGAGGAATTGTTCTATATCAATGTTTACTAAGTTATGAGTCTCAGTCCACCTAGACATTGCACAAGGGCACTAAGAGGGTCACAGCATGTGAGAAGGCAGCAGAAAGCCACAGTTCGGTTCTTCCAGGCCAAGAAGTTCAAGTAATATGTGATTGCTCTTTCCAAGTTTATGTGCTAGCTTGGGTAGTAACTGTCTGGAAATATTGGCAGCGCTGTTTGTTCTTAAGGGTGAGAAAATTACTATAAACACCTGCATCTGGTGATTATCGCTGGCTCTCTCCCTCTTCTAGAGGAGTGAGGTGCAGTTTACAAGGTAAATTAAATGCTATTACCCTTTTAAAAGGTTTGATTAAGCACTTATATCCCATGGCTGCTTCTGAGTTGTTGGTGATGAAAGTTAAGATTTAAGAAAGTTGATTCTGACTATATACCTCAGCAAATGCTGAGGTATCCCTATACATATCCTATTGTATAGGGCAAAAATAGGGTATAGGGCAAACCACAGTGTCCAGAGACATCAAAATAGAAATTTTATTAAAGAAAGGAGTTGACTTCTTTCTAAAGAGGAAAATATGATGCTACATACTGGTCTTGGTGCAAGCAACAGCAGTGTTTCTTCTGAAACGGTAACTACTCTGGATACATGGTTAAACATAAATACAGCTAATATTCTTTTGCTGAAACACTTCCAGCTTAAATTTCAAAACGAATAGGTAGTTGTACTGATGGGCTTAAGACACACAACACTGAGGGTTTTTTTAGCCAAAAAGACAACTAATTAATTAAAGGCACATAATTTCTTTAGACAATAGTGGAAGGAGCCCAGAAAATTGCTTACTGAGCACTGCTCTTTGGATGTGGGTTATGTTTAAAGGTTGTTTTACTCTGAAAGTCTGTTGCTACCATAAGTATTAGTGGGTTGCTCTGTAGGACCATATTGAGATTTATTAGGGTTTTGTAAATATCTAGCAATGTTATAATATCTGCAATAGCATAAGCGCATAGTTTGTGAACTCTGCAGCAGTGCTGTAAATAAAGTGAAACTTCTGAAATTGTTTTAATTCCTTATATTTGTAAAAATTACAGAGAATGTTTACTTCAGTTTTTAATTTCTTAAGGTCAGTTTCACTGTAATGAGTATGATGGTTTGAGATCAAGATGGTTGGAACAGACACTAGAATCCTTCATCCCAGATTCTTTGATCAACTCAATAACTGTTTCTAAACTAGACGGCAGACAGATTGGAGATCTCAACCCTGAATTATTTGACAAGGTAACATTATTACATATTAGCAAGTGATATTTCCATATTTTACTTCTTTCTTTGCCTGTGATGTTCTCTTATTTTTTCCAAACCCAGTAGAAATATTTGGCTTATTAGGGGAAAACAAGGTCACAAACAGGCTCTGCAGAGCCTCAGGAATCAGTATATGAAGCTTATTGTGCATTTGTTCATGTGTTAGATGATGTTACCCATTTAATCCTGGTAGTGAATGCTGAAGACCTTATCGCTGTGATCTTTGCATGATCTGTAATTAGGAAGGGGGAGAGAACAAGTGTGAGTGTTATTCAGGTGAAGGGTGCTTGTGGAGTAGTAATTTCTTCCTTTTTTTTTTTTTTCCTTGATGACTCTACAAAAACATTTCAAAATAATAGATAATTGTTGCCTGTAAAATGGAGAATAAAAAGGGCATTCTGAATGTTTGCAAAAATGAATTGAGTGGATTTTGGCATACAGTGTTCAGAAAGTGAATGTTTTTGTTAATCATCTTGTTTGCTCATGTTGGTTGTATAGGTGTTGGTCGATGCTCCGTGTTCAAATGACAGAAGTTGGTTATTCTCTTCTGATATTCAGCAGGCTACACTTAGGCTAATACAAAGGAAAGAGTTATCTTCTCTACAGTTACAGCTGCTAAGGTGAGATGTGCCAAGAAAAGCTATTAAAGGCGCTTCTTCTAGTTAGTGAAAATGATATGGGGCAAGGTTTTTCATATTTAATTTCCAAATCTAAGTTTCACACAGTGAAGAGAGTAAATGAAGAATATGTTGTTGCAATTGCTGTTTAGATAAAAGTTAATCTGGGCTAATTTGAATATGGGAATTTTGTGTAGGGTAATGTAAGTAGTGTGGTCTAGATCCTCTGTTAGCATACTGCTCTGCAATCCTGTTAACTCGCTTATTAGGCCCATTTATAGATGTTTCAGAACAGCCTGGTAGGTATCTGGTAGATATTATCAAAATACTTTCTGTAGCTGACACAGCTAAAGTGGTTCTAGGACTATTCCCCAGGTGAAGCAAAAACATGCACAGAATTTTTAATGGTTCTTTTTAACCATCTGAAAAAGTAGCCAAGCTGGGCATTTTTTCCCAAGTGTATTTCTTTTTTGTTCTTCAGCAGAATTATCACTTACAGTTCTTTATTACAGCCTATTTGATCACAAAGCTGTCAGTCAGTGCTAGTTACCAGCTGTGAATGGTTATCAGCTGATCATTAGGTAATGCTGCTTCAGAATTTGTTTTATAGCCTGTTTATATGAAGAATTTGAGTCTACTATTGCACATTCTTACCTGCTTGAATTTAATACCTATTTTACTGTTTATAGCAAGAAGGACTACTGATTTTAATTGATAGGGTGTTGCCATCTTCCAGGTTGGATGACTATTAATAAAGGTAAAAAAAAAAATATGTGGACCTGGAGGGCTTTTTTGTTTGGTTTTCAGGAAAATCCGCCCAATAATCCAAATCAAAATTGCAACATATTTTACTTTTAAATAATGCCAGCCATAGGCTTGAAACACTTTCTTTTCTATGACATGAAAAACTGTAATGTGACTTCTCCTTAATACCTTCTATACCTGAGTATTTTTTGTAAAGTAACAGTCATACTTGAAGTTACTGTCTTGCGAGTCTTGCCTTCAGTCTCATGAAAGTTCATGTTTTCTGCTTGCTGGTAACTTTCAGCCTGAAAATGAGTGAAGTGTTGCCTATAACTAATTTCTTAAAAAAAAAAAAAAAGTTTACAAAATGAAACAATAATAATAATATACTATTATACGGAAAGTTAAAATGTTTTAGGAGTTAGATTAAAGCAGAATTATGTTTCCTTCCAAAAACAATTTCTGGAGCTATATAGTGCTGTATAGATATTGATAAAATAATAAACTTTTAAGTGCTGCACAATGATTTACCTTGGAAGTACCCATCTGTCAAAGCAAATTGAGGGAAAAAATAATGTATTATTTCAGCAACAACAAAAAAGCTTTTATGGAAAGTTCCCAATGCAGCAGTTCAGATAGTTTCGCAAGACTTGAGTCAAAAAAGGCCTAGCAGAAGCCTATGATTTATAACAGAAATATGACTGTCTTATTGCAGTAATGCATCATGTCACCCATTTCCTTTGTGGAAATCAATCATATTTAAAACATTGACCTCTTTCAGTTTTCCCTTTTCAATATTTGACATATAAAATCCAATTTTTGAACCTCTAACAAAAGAAAGCATATATCATGCAGTGAAATTTTGAAAATTTACATAAATCACTCCCGATTACAATTCTGAAGTGGAGAACTGTTGACAGCAGGACCCTTGTTTTAAAAAAGGAAACCCTCCTGTCACTGCAAATCATATTTAATTGAATTGATCCTAAGTCTAGAAGAGAACTTTGCTTCTGTGGAAGGTGTGCTTTACTATAGCAACAGCAATAAGACAAAATATTTTTGATATGTAACTTGAAGTAGAAGGATGTTAATTTCCATTTTGTCACTCCTGTAGGTCTAAGTACTTATGTACACAGTCTGTTGTTACGTGCACTGGATTTTTTTTTTTTTTTGGGGGGGAGTGTATTAAATGAGTTATTAGATTCAAGATGTAAAGATTATAGGCTTTACCCAGTAGAATATTTCACATTTACCTAGTAAACGGTATTGCTGTGCACTGGATGTTTATTGCTTTTTTTATCTGATAGTATTAGGGGAGCGTATTAAATGAGTTATTAGATTCAAGATGTAAAGATTATAGGCTTTACCCAGTAGAATATTTCACATTTACCTAGTAAACGGTATTGCTGTGCACTGGATGTTTATTGCTTTTTTTATCTGATAGTATTAGATTGAATTTCCAATACTAATGAAGTCTTGAATTCTGTATTTAAGGGAAAAGCGGAAATGATAAAATCAGATCAGGAAAGGCAAAATGACTCATGCAAGTACATTAGAAGTTTGTTGGCAAAACTAAAAGTGTAGAATGCCACCCTATTCAAGCCTTTGCTTTATGGTTAATGTGCATAATTGTAAATCAAAAATTGGGTTTGAATCCTGGCTCTGATACTTTGATAATATTTAGTAAGGTTGAAACCAATGCACTAATCCAGCTATGCTACGTCTCATATGAGTCAGCTTATGCACAGATAGCCCTGGTTTGTCTGCTCAGGTTACCTTGTGCTTAATGCTCATGGACATTTCTCCCCTCAGTTCCCATATCTACAAAACAAAAATAGGTATAAATCTTTAAAAAACCCTAGAAATTTTGTTGAAAGTAATGTAGTAAATATTGTGCAATTTGAAGATGAAACTTAAAGTGTACAGGCCAATTTACTTTAGCTGTAGTACTTAAGTATAAGGAGTATGTTCAGAGAGGGAATACACACACGAGAGCGGGGAAATGGGAAAGGGAGTTTTATTTTCATTTCTATCAAGTGACATTCGGCCCAAAATTTGGCTTTACCTCTTTCTTTTTAGTTATGGAAATATTTCACTTGTAATTCACTTGTCTTCTTGCTTTTTCAAAGTAGATCAACTTTAGGGGGAAAGCTGCGGAAATCGGAGAGGAAGACAGGGAAGAAAAAGTATTTGTGCAATACAGTGTAATTTATTAAGTGCATAGAGGCCTCAAAGAAAGAGGATCTGAAAGAAGTGCTGAAACTGTTTCAACTATCTTCCTACTCCAGTCTGAATAAAATTTGAAATGTAAATAAGTAGCATAAATACCGAACAGCAAATTATAAGTCGTGAGGGCAGCACTGATTTGAAGGAAATTGAGATTACAATGATTGTTAATACCATAAGCAAAGCATCCCTGCTGAGTGCTATAAGAACACACTGCAAATCTCGTTATTATTTGGAATGTTCATGCAGAAAACAAATTGCAAAGTAAGTGAGGAATGGTCATTTCCTGCTACTGAATGCTAGCACAAAACGCAGTGATTCCGATAAATGAATTTAGTAATGGTATCAGTTCTCAGATAAAAATTAAACTTGAGGTTAAGGCTGAGTACATAATAACTGAATGGTAAAACTGTTACGAATCTTGTAGTTATTCCTAGACCAGTTGTTGCAGCTGAAAGAAACTGAGTTAGGGTTCAGCTGAAAATAAATCCAAACAGGATACAATTTAGAAAATGCAATGAAGGTGTTCATGCTACTGTAACTTTTATACACGACATCTCCCAAAAATTAAACAGTTCTACTTTGTATGCGGTAGAGTTCTGGTCCAGAGGAGCTCAAACTAACTTTTAAAGATACACTGTGTCTGACTGCCTCCCCTCCTCCCCCCTTTTTCTTCTTGTGGGTTTACTGCAAGGCAGATTGTTAGTTTTGAATGGGTAGAGACATGCACGCACAAAGTTAACAGGATTTCAGGGGATTCTAGGTGCGTAGGAAATGTCAAGGGCCATGAATATTCTGGGCTTTGAATGACTGGTGGCAAAACAAGCCTGAGGCAAAATGATTATTTTCTTAGTTAATTTGTTTAGAGTTGTATGTGTTCTCATTTTTCAGAACTCGGGATGAAGCGTTACATTTGAGTTGAGAAAATAGGGAAACACTTTATTCTCCCCAGTTATTGAAAAATTTGAATCCCTGGTTTGCTTATAAGTATAACATATAAGGAGCAATGTCTGGCTCTCCGTTACATATGTATCTTCTGTAACATCCCCTGTGCAACTGGAGTACAATGGCAAGGTAAAATTAATAAGAGCATTGTTTTACTTTGAATGTCAGTCATAATATGGTATTTGAAATTGCTGATTTGTTCTTTGTAAGAAAAGGTTACTAGACGTTTTTTATTTCTTGTTGAAATGTTTGGGGGGGTGGGAGGGTTGTGCACATGTTTTAGTTGGAAGAAAAAAAAAAACCCTCAACCCCAATATTCTGAACTTAGTTTTCTGAAATAATGGGAACTTATACCATTAGTTATTGTCAAATGTAAGTAAACAGGTGCTTTGCCAGCACCTTCATAAAGCTTCTGATCCATGTTTGTCTTGGTGTTTCAGCCCTAAGCTTCACTGGAGCAGTTTGCTGATCCTGCAGCCACCTTGTATGGTGGCTTACAGATCTGCTCACATGGGAAGTAAAATGAGATTGACGTTTTCCCTTGAGTCATCAGGTAGTATTGGCAACCCAGGTTAATCTAACATGCCACTGTACTCGCATTATTTTCTCAAGTCCAGACCTCTGAAAATATTTCTTATTTGGAGTAAAAGTTCAAAACTTTTTGTGAAAACTTAAGGCACAAGTACAACAAAGCTTAAGTCACAAGTTACTGTGTTTTCCTTGGTATGTGAAGATTAGTGACATGGTCTCATAGAGTAATTCACTTTTTTTTTTTTTCTCCTGAAAGAATATCCTTTTTCATGCAATGTATAGTAAACACTATGAATTAGTGAAAAAAATCCTGATGTTCCTTCCTCACACATTTGGTGTCATCTCTATAGTCTCATTGAAATGTAAAGCTTTTGACATATCCTCAGAAAAGTAATTGCAAAGCTGCTTTTGCTTTTTTTTTTTCTTCAGTGTGCTGTTAGTTGTTTTTTGGTTTTAAAACAGAGGCAAAAATTGTTTTCTCTAAGTGGGCAAAATACCACTATATTGTTAGTAATGTTAATGTACCATCTACTAATATAGTAGAAGTTGGAGTTCTA